ACCACCACACTTTGCCTTTTAAAAGAAATGCCACCCACATTCAGAGACACAAGTGCAGCAGTTTGGTGAGCTTTTACAACCATGTTTTTTTTTTTTTTTTTTTTTTTTGGTTTTGTTTTTTGGTTTTGTTCTGTTTTGTTCTAATTAAATGTATCGTCCTGGGAACCGCAGCCCATCGCAGCCTGACTCCAGTTCCAGGAAATAGATTAGCAAAGGTCTGTTCCGCTCAGCTCAGCCCGCGCTGGGCTTCCGGGCCCCCCTCGGGGGGTGCAGGTGCATTACTCAGAGGTGCTCACACGCTTTACTCGACCTCTCAGGAGTTCTCTTATGTCAGAAGTGTATGTCTTACAATGGGTTGGGATGGTAAGTAGCCTCTTTTATTGAGTAATTCAATTATCTCCCTCTTTTCCGTCCCTCTCCTGCCTGCCTTCCTCCTCGCCTTTAGATCAAAGTGATGCTTGAGAGAGTGAATTGGTATGTTCAAATCAGGATTCTAGCCCGGTTGAGCCCTTTTTTAGTTGCACATCCTTTCGATGTTTAATTTTTAAAAATATGACGTACACAGTTTTCTAAAAAAAAGAAAAAAAAAAGTGTTACTGTAACATGACAAAAACCTAAGTAAAAGGCCCCTATGTATGTTTTCAAGCCCTTGGTATGGTATACCTTCTTGTCATTTCAATTCATTGCTTTGTCTCCAGCCCTCATCTTTGAAGAAAGTGGATACTTCAAGTCCATTTGTAGGAGACAAAGTTACTGAATCTGGTTTATGATACCTGCATTCAAGTTAATGCTCTCCCTCCCCTTTGCCCCACGTCCCCCCCAAAAGATTGTGGTTCAAGTAGACCCCATTTTCTCATTTTACTCCAATGTCTCTTATGGTGATGGACGTTGAAATTAAGCAAGTCATTTGTAAAGTACTGTTGAAGCACCAAATCTGTAAAGTGTCAATACCCAGTCTCCTCTCCTTGTCTCCACTGTTCTTTGTTCGAAAGCACATGCCTGATCGTGAAAAGTTGATGCAAACGTGTTACACGCCCAGTCATGGTGGAGAGAACACTTCCCTCAGCCCCCAGTCCCCCTTCTCTACATGTACAAGGAAAAAACCGCGACAGAAATGACTTGCAGAACCAAACACTGTACTTCTGATGTGTTTTACAAGCATAAGTTCTCCCGTTAAAAGACAAAACACGTTGAAGTTCTGTTTTCCCTCTTGTCCACTTTTGGTCCCCGACATACTTGGGTCGAGAAAGCTTTTGAACACACAGCCCTCTTCCACTCCCAAAGATCAGGTTTCCTTTTTTTCCGCTCTTGGGAGAAGAGAAAGTTCACTGCATTCAGATGAGGAAACCTGTAAATTGCAATTCCGCGGGCCACTTGTTCTTCCTCTCATTGTGTTCACAACCTAACTGCTGGGAAGTGATGACCTTAGGTGTGTAAAGTCTATTGTGGGAGAAAGAAATGTCCACACAGTACAGTGTCCTGCAAAAAAAAAAAAAAATGATGTCTGAAGCACAAACTGAACACACTTTCCAGGGCGCAAGGTCAGCCGAAAATGAATTGCATTTAAAGTTTCCCCTCCTTTGTGAAATTCCTCCTCCAGGAGCCAAGTGCAGAAACCCCCTGCTATAGATGAACCTTCCAGGGTTCAGGAGCTACGAAGTTGCGGAGGGATGCTAATGTAACTTTACTTTGAAATGTTAAGGAAATAGGATTTCTTTTCTCAGAAGTTGAGCAGTCCTATATCGCATTTAAAAACATTTCCCTAAACATTTAAAAAGCGCTCAGGCATATCCACACAAGGGTTTGTTGTTTTTACATTCTCAAAGGAATCTCCTGTATCAAACCCAAGAAACCCCAGTAATTATGCCAGACTGTTTGGGTAGCCTTTGTTTTTGAAATGTCACAGTACTACTGCCTTTTTTCTTCCCAAAACTGATGTACCGGTATTAGTTAAAATTCAAATTAATGGATGTTGCAAAAAAAAGAAAAAGAAAAGGGTGTCACTCAGAATACCTGATTTAACGGCAACTCTCATACACTTGTAAAATTTTGTATTCTCTGGGGAGAGGTTTACTCCGAAAGCAGTTAAAAATCTCCCAGTAGAATAAAAATCATTCTGACCAGGAAAACATGGATATTCTGGTCCTTAAAGCCCCTATTTTTCTTATTCCCCTCAAATTTGCTCTTCAAAAGAAAATAATAGGATTCCCCCCAAAAGGGCTTTCTATTTCACATTCTGTCCTGTCTCCCAGATAGGGTTTCATTGAATTTTTTGATCTTGAGAAGCCAGCATTTTGTTTTTACATAGAGCTACTTTCTGAAGCCACAAAGGTGGCCTTTGCTTCGCCAGGAAGGCTGTTCCCCAGGGAAAACTTGGCACCTGGGGAAATGAAGGCTTTCCCAGGTGTTGCGTACCTGGCACGTTAGAGATGAATGGTTGACTCTGAATTTGTATGCTCCTGTCCAGTTGAATAGGGACAATTTCTGTATTGGGCCGGTTTATCTTTAATAATGCCTCGACCTCTGCTCCTTTCTCTTAGATCTTTTTTCCCTTTGCTGCTAGAAGGGAAATGGATGTCTCAGGGTTGCCTTATTCCGTTAACATTTTTGTGGCTATTGCGTCCCAGAACCACCTTGTATAGGCCAGATCCAGATGCAGTCAATACGTCGATGGTGAAAATTGCTACTGAAACTATTGCCAGGCCTCTGTGAATACCCTATTCCAGACAACCTAATTCTGGTGCCTGTGGATACCTTCTCGGACCAGAGGGAGTGGTTCTGACCCAGGTTAGGAGGTTGAGTGACAGAAAATAATTCAGAGCAAATAATGAAATCGCTAAGTTTTTAAACGAGCAAGGCGTTTGCGTGTACCGTGGCAACGTTTCTGACCTAAGGAGGAGAGAAAAGGATGGATTCTGAGATTTCTGGCAGTTGGTATTTAATAAGCTGATTCAAGGACCCGTAGCAGCCGTCTGCTTGTAGGTGGAGGGGATCCTGTCAGAATGAGTGGTTTGAGGCTGGTTTCATAATTAAAAACTAATGGAAAGAGCGGAAAAGCTGCCTCATTGTCTGGGCTGCATATGAGGTTCATTTGGATAAATTAAGGTAAGACGTCGGGGGAGCCAGGTTTCATGGATTTGGGTTTCTAAATGTTGGCCTAGTCTTCGCTGCAGACCTGTTTTGCTTTTGGTAGTTCACAAAGATGCCGTTTTGAAGACTGTGCGGTGTGTTTTTTTCCATTTAGTAACGATACGAGGTTACATGGGCAGTTTTTAAATACATTTCTGACTCAGTTGATGGCAAGATGAACGTCGTCACATCCTGCTGCTGGAATAATTTTTTAGCAGAACAGAGGTTATTTGCTTAGAGGTTATTTGGCCTTCTCCTGGCCAAAGTGCTCTGGATAGAGGATCTTGTGTGTTTTTTGTCATTTCATATGTGTCTGTTGGTGACTCAGCTCTCTTGTTTGTAAGGCAAGCGGTGACATCTTCCAAACATCGAGGGGCAGCAGGATATGAAAGGACAGTGTGGGCTTTGGCGGCAGATAAGCCCTGCCGGCAGTGTACGGTGGGCACAGATAACGCCCACTTCTCGGGTCATTGCAGTCAAATGGGCATATGCAGGACACCCACGCAATGCCTGGCATTCAGTGAGTCTTGGTTTCTTTGTCTCCCTGCTGTCCCTACTAGAGAAAAATTGTCAATAGAATTTGCAGGCCGGTGGGTAAACAGAAGTCAGAATAACATCTGTGTTCTTGAGGGAAGTCTTGTCTTCCTCTTTGTAGGTTTCTGGTCAGCTTATTCAATTGCAAGGAGCTGACCGGGGTTGAAACTAAGTGGGAGCCATCTTAGGGCATTTCTTGCTTGCATCATGTCCTTATTATAGATGCTA